AAGTGTTTCCAGAGATACTTTAAAGAACTTTATGCACAGGGGCCACAGAAAGAGTTTGAGATAGACCGATTTTTAAAAACCAATGGACTACCAAAAGTAACTCAGGAAAAGAGAACAATCCTGAACTGTAAAATAACGCAACAGGAAATTGAAGGTGCCATTCAGAACATGCAACTAGGTAAGTCTCCAGGCCCTGACGGACTTACCTCCAAATATTACAAGACTTTGAAAGACTACCTGACACAACCTCTGATGGAGGTATGTAACCAGATTATGGAGGGGAAGAAGGCACCGGAGTCGTGGAAAGAAGCTTTCATCACATTGATTCCAAAAGTGGAAGCTGAAAAGACTCAACTTAAGAACTACCGTCCCATCTCACTCCTAAATGTGGATTACAAAATTTTTGCAGACATTCTGGCAAGTAGACTTAAAAAAGTTTTGATTGAAGTAATTCATAAAGATCAGGCCGACTTTCTCCCTGGTAGGCACTTGTTTGATAACACTAGGAACATTATTGATATTTTGGAACTTTTACAAACAAATATCAACACGAGAGCAGTGTTAATTTTCATTGATGCGGAGAAGGCCTTTGATAACATTTCTTGGATGTTTATGAAGAAGAACTTGGAAGGGATGGGAGTGGGACGGGGGTTTGAAAATGGTATAGAAGCAATTTATTCAGAGCAAAAAGCTAAATTGATAGTGAACAATGTGGTGACAGAGGAGTTCAAAATTGAAAAAGGGACACGACAGGGGTGCCCACTATCCCCTCTTTTATTTATTTCAGTACTGGAGGTCCTTTTGAACATGATTAGAGAGGACCGGTTGGTGCAAGGTATACAGGTCGGAGTGAAACAATATAAACTGAAAGCATTTGCAGATGATTTGGTTTTAACATTACAGGAGCCAGTATCTAGTACAAAAAGAGTTCTAGAACTGATTCATGAATTTGGTCGGGTGGCGGGATTTAAGCTGAACAAGCAAAAAACCAAGGTTTTGGCTAAAAATTTGACACACACAGAAACAGATGGGTTCCAGAAAGAAACAGAACTAAGTGTTGTTAAAAAAGTGAAATACCTAGGGGTTCATTTGACTGTTAAAAAATTGAATTTATTCAAGGACAATTACGAAAAATGTTGGTCGGAAATTAAGAAGGATTTGGAAATTTGGTCAAAACTGAAACTTTCCTTGTTGGGCAGAATTGCAGCTATAAAGATGAATGTATTGCCGAAAATGTTATTTTTGTTCCAGGCCCTACAGATCGTGGACAGAGTGGAATGTTTTGGAAAGTGGCAGAAGGATATATCTAAATTTGTCTGGCAGGGCAAAAAGCCCCGAATAAAGTTTAAAATACTAACTGACTCGAAAGAAAGAGGGGGGTTTGCCCTGCCGGACTTGAGGTTATATTATGAATCTGCAGCCTTCTGCTGGTTGAAGGATTGGTTTTTGCTGGAGAACACTGATGTCCTGGATCTGGAAGGGTTTGATAATGCTTTTGGTTGGCATGCATATTTGTGGTACGACAAGGTTAAAGTTCATAAACTTTTTAAAAACCATATTGTCAGAAGAGCAATTTTCGCGGTCTGGTCAAAATATAAAGACTTATTGGAGGGCAAGACCCCGAGGTGGATATCACCGGTAGAGGCCAAGGCTAGAAAAAGACTCAATATGGAGGCCTATTGGCCAAAATATTGGGAAATAATTGAAAAAACTGGAGACAATTGGAGGCTGCAGAGCCAAGACAAGTTAAAAGATAAGGTGCGGGACTGGCTACACTATGCTCAAATTCAAGAGGTGTTTAAAATAGATAAAAAAGTTGGTTTCCAAGTGGAAAAATCGAAATTAGAGACAGAATTGTTAGAACCAAAAACTAAGACACTATCGAAAATGTATAACTTGCTGCTTAAGTGGAATACACAGGATGAGACAGTCAAATCTGCCATGATAAAATGGGCACAGGATATTGGACACAACATAATGTTTGAAGACTGGGAAAGGTTATGGAACACCGGTATGAAGTTTACGGCATGTAATGCCTTGAAAGAAAACATTATGAAAATGATATACCGGTGGTACATGACCCCAGTCAAGCTAGCTAAGATATACCATCTGTCTGATAATAAATGTTGGAAATGTAAGGAGGCAGAAGGGACATTCTTTCACCTATGGTGGACCTGCCCAAAAGTGAAGGCCTACTGGGAAATGATTCACAATGAGTTAAAAAAGGTATTTAGGTATACCTTCCCTAAGAAACCAGAGGCCTTCCTACTGGGCATGGTGGACCAGAGGGTGTTAAAGAAGGACAGAACTTTGTTTATGTATGCTACCACAGCAGCAAGAATTCTTCTCGCAAAGCACTGGAAGACTCAAGATCTACCTACGTTGGAGGAGTGGCAGACGCAGTTGATGGACTATATGCAACTGGCTGAAATGACTGGCAGAATCCGAGATCTGGGAGAGGAAACAATGGAAGAGGACTGGAAAAAATTTAAGGACTATTTGCAAAAACATTATAAGTTGTATGAATGTTAAGAAATATGCACGATTAGGAAATTTTCGCTTTAGCAACTTGATTAGGTAAATTGAAAATTAAGACAAGAAAAAAGAGGTGGTAATATGAAACAACTTTATTATGTTAATTTTAAATGTACAAAGTTTGGGATATGAGATTGTGAATTCGGAAACATAATAACTGAAAGATACAGTAAGTTAAGAAACAAGGTAACAAATTGCTGAAACTTTTATCGCAGAGAACGCAGGGTCTGGAGGATGTGGGGAAGTCCACCTGGAATATTGAAAAAAAAAACTATTGAAAGTTGGACAGAAATAACCTTTTTTTGTTCTCTAATATTTCTTTTTGTATTTGTTTCTTGCACTTTCATATTGTTATCCTGTGTTCATGAACCTAAGAAAAGAAACTCAATAAAAAATATTTTTTTAAAAAAAAAATGTACACCAAAAGGGCATGTGTGCTTGCATATACTCAACAAGCACCCGTCTGCCATATGAAACATTCATGCATGAAGGAGCCAGAACTGGCCACTGGTCCCCACCACGCATTTGCCACAATGTATGACACAGTCCCCAGCAGTGTGCTTGCAGCAGAGGCCCATGGCACAAATTTGCATGGTATTTGCATATATTCGTGGGAACGTTGTGTATACTAGGAGAGGATATATTGATTAAATATTATCCTTTCTCACTCATGCTAGTGAGTCAGTAGCAGAGTACATTCCCCACTATATTGCAGGAAGCTGGTTGGTAGATTCATTTGAATCTCTTCACTTAAGCAATCCAATCTGACTTGTCCAGATTGGGTTTGTTCCTAGTAAATTCCCCTTTAATCCCTCTTAAAAAGAATAAAGACACAACAGTCTTCTCTTAAAAGTAATAAGAAGTTTACTCACATTCAGTTCACAGTAGGTTCCCTGAAGGCAGGCTTTAGCTGGAAGTTACAGAAGAGAGTTTGAGTTCATCCCATATGGGGATGGAGTTCAAGTGCTGCTGGTTGAGAGCCAGCAGACAGCAAAACAACATCAAGAGAAAAAATGGCGTCAAGGGTCAAGAGAGCATGGCATCAAGAGGAAGATGGCTGCGTGACCAGCCCTTTTATGGGGTCTCACATCTACCTGGTCACACGCAGGGGGAGGATGCTCCAGACCAGGTGTGACAGGAAGTCCTCCTGGTTGGAGTAACATCCCCCTGTGTCCACTCTGAGCAAATGGGAAGTGTTGTGCTTGACTGCTCATCTTGCATCCCACACCTGCCACAAGAAACATTCATGAATGAAGGAGCCAGAACTGGCCATTGCTCCTCACCATGCATTTGTCACAATGTGTGACACAGTCGCCAGCAGTGTACTTGCAGCAGAGGCCCATAGCACAAATTTGTATGATCTTTGCATATATGAATTAATATGTACAATTGTCTCTGAGCAAAAAAAGATAGCATGTGGCTGGGGTCTCATATTAAAGGTTTTTTAAATAAACAAAAAAAAAGTTTTTGAAAGGGAAAGGGGCAGGAAATTTGGGGCATGCCTAGTACAAAAGATCTGGGCTCAGGGGCCCAGTACCATCTTCTAACAATGTACACACAGGTGGTGATATGCATTCAGGCATGCTATTACCACCACCTCATGCTAATGTGGTTGCACACTAAACTTGGTCCCATGCTAATTCTTGCTCAGGCTTTCTGTCTAATTTCTTTATAACCTCTGAAACCACTCTAAGAGCATAAGAAGAGTCCGCTGGATCAGACCAGTGGCCCATCTAGTGCAGCATCCTCTTCTTACAGTGGCCAACCTGTGGGAAGCCCACAAGCAAGACCTAGCAGGCAACAGCACTCTCCCCTCCTGCGATTCCCAGCATACTGTCTCTGACAGGGGAGGGACATCATAGCCATCAGGTCACCTCTACCTGTCAGCTTTTGGATTGGATCCTGCTCCTGTGTCTCCCGACAGCAGTATGGAACACCGAAATCAGAGCTCCTTTCCATCATCGCTTTAGGTTTTCTTTTATTAATTGTAATAAATAATAATATTAATTATGGTTATTACATTTACAGCTCAGTTTTCCTCCGAGGTGGCGCACATGCTCCTTCTCCTCCTGCTTTGATCTTCACAACGACCCTGCCAGGTTGGCTCAGAGACTATGGCTAGCCGGGGTTGGGCTACATGTCTGAGCGGGGATCTGAACTTTGATCTCCGAGGCTTCCTCGCCCTACCCTGTCACCCCTACTGTTGTGCCAGGAGAAGCTTTACTCGCTTTATTTCTGCCTGCCAAGCTGCTGCTAATGGTAATGGCAGAGGAGCACAGCAATGGACAAAGAAAGCTTGGCGGCCTTCGTTTCTCCCCCGCCCTGCGCAACCCCCACTCCACACCCCACCCTCTCTCTCCAAGGGCCCTTGGGCAAAGGATGCGCGTCCCGCTGCCGCGCCTCTCCCGCCCGCTTTCCGTTCTTGAGCAGGAAAAGGGCTGCCGCTCTCACGGCATAAATACTAGAGCCCCGACCGAGCGGACAACCTGCTGCGCGGCGCTGACCCGTCCAAAAGCACAACATGTTTGGAAATCCCACCAGGTCGTGGCAGGTAGGAGGGCGATGCCCGGTCTCGGAGAGGAGGCGGGGTTGGGGGTCGCTCGCCTCGCCCTCCGGAGAGGGGGGGGGACGGAGTGGAGCTGCTGCCCCCCCCCCCGCCTGGATCCGAGGCTTGTCGAGCGCTGCTTGGCTTTGTAGAAGGTCTGCCACTGGCTGCTGCTAGCAGCTAGACGGCTTCTTTTGACCCGCGTCACTCTCACGTGGTGGCTTCGCTTCGCCCGCCAATGGACTTTTGGTCCATTCATTTCTTTGCTTCTAGGAATGCCGCACGAAGCGCCTTGCGATCGGAGGCGCGAGCCACTCAAGGGCCTGCGGAAACATGTCCCGGTCTGTGAACTTGGCAACTAAGGCAGCCACATTGTTGGAAAGCTAAGCAGGATCGGGTCTGGTCAGGATTTGGATGGGAGACCATTCCAGGATGGCAGGCGGGGGTCGACATACAAAAACACCAGGAAGGCCCTCAGATTAGCTGAGATTCCTTCAATTGCAGGGAGGTGGAATGGATGACCCTTAGGGTCCCTTCCAATTCTACAGTTCTATGATCAGGAAGTGGATAGGGACACATCTCATAACACTAGAACTCCGGACTCCCCAATGAAGCTGAAGTTCATGGAATCATAGAATTGTAGGAAGGGACCACAAGGATAATCTAGTCCACCCCCCTGCAACCATGAAGGAATCTTTTGCCCAACATGGGGCTCAAACTCACAACCCTGAGATTAAGAGTCTCGTGCTCTACCAACAGATGGAAGAAATGACTTCATCACACAGAGACAAAGTTTCTGTGGATTTTTGTTCCCACAACATGTAGCAGTGTCAGCCAACGTAGCTGGCTTCAGAAAAAGAAAAGAAAAAAGGATCAGACAGTTTTGCCTCCACTGTTTGAGGCAGTAATGCTTCTGAATACCAGTTGCTGGAAAACATAAGAGGAGGGAGTTGCTGTTGCACTCAGATCCAGCTTGCAGGCATCTGGTTGACACTGTGAGAAGACAATGCTGGACTAGATGGGCCAGCAGGCTCCTCTGTTCTTATTATGCCAGCAGCCCTTACAGGAGGTGCCCCTCTTGAATCATGTACCACAGAGATTTGAATTAGCAACCCATCTTGAGGCCTTCTCTTCTTGGAAGGGATAAATCCCCCCTTCCAACAGATATCAACATGCCCATCTTCCAGAGAGAGTCTACAGTCTTTGTGTGCCTTTTTTCACTGAGACATCCCTGGCAGTTTTGCATCTTTTTGCTGATTCGCTCATCCTAGGAGCTCCCTGCCCCTAGGCAGCCAGTAGCAAGGACCTTTGATATTATGGCTGCTGTCAGGCCCCCCTTTTTAATGGAAATATAAACAGGGCTTGTTTTTCCCGCACAGAAATGTAGGGCTGGACAGACAGCACCTGTCAAATTTTGTGTGTCATGCAGATGGGTAAAGCACAAAGCCCTCACTAAAAAAAAACCAAAACAACAAGGTGGAAATACACCTCACAGTATATCAGGAAATGCTGTTAAGGGAGTGGAGTTGTGTGACACTTAGGTGGGGGGGGGAATTATTCACAATTATCTGTGGAGAAATCTTGCTATTTGTGTGTAGCATTTTACATGGCGTACTTACGGCAAAATGCATATCTTAAATCCCTTATAGCTCCCTGGGGTGGCCTTGTGGCCACAGCCATTCAGTAGAAATGAAATGGTTTGTTTTATAATGTGCATTTTGTCTTCCCTGTATGAAACTAATTGCAGACTGAAGCGTGTGAACATCCCAGTGCCGGTGCTCTGTGGCATGTGGTATTAGATCAAGCTGCGTTATGGCTACCCAAGGTCATAACTCTTCCTTCCCCGAAGGAAAGAATGCCAGTCACCTGCTGTTTCACAGCTGGCAGTGTTTTCTCCTAGCACTCTGTTCTGCGTTAATTTGCATGTTCTTATCTGCCACTTATTTGTTACCGTTTGCATCCCATCCTTCCTGCAAAGAATTTAGGCTGCTGGTTTCAGCTTTGCAACGGCCCTGTGTGGTAGATCGGAGTGAGGCATAAAGCCACGCTAGACAGGATTGGAGTTGTTCTGTGTGTGTAAACATAGCGCTGCCCCAATCATGTGGAAATGGGAGGTGCATTTGTAAAAACAAAAGGGGCGTGTGGACTGCAGAACCTTCCTCGAACCAAGGTCTGTTCACAGCTGATCTCTGCATAACTCCTCTGCCCATGCAGTTTCCCCTCAGATGTAGTTAGAATACCAAACTGAACCTGCCTAAGAGAAAAGTAGTTTGGGAGAGGGGCTGTGGGCAGGTCAAACATGGAAAGGAGACATGACCAGCCCTACCATTGGGCAGCATGAGGTACCGGTAATTGCCTCAGGCGGCAGATGTTAAGGGCCAGTAGCTCCTGGTTGTTCCTCCTGCTTCCTTTTTTTGGCACACAGCCTCTCCTGGGGCCCCTAATCTGGCCTGCTGCCTTCACTGCCAGTCAACTTGTATAAATGGAACAGGGAAAAGATGCCTCAGGCATTAAAATGTCTTGGCTCAGCCTTGAGGGGGATTTTAAGTTCCCTTCTCCCATGCATTTCTTTTGCTTTGGCAATTGGATCCTCCCCCCCCCTCTACTTTTTTATTGCAGTAGGGAAGTTCTGGGTGCCAAGAGAGAAATTGTGTACAGAAGTACTTTTCCCCCAATACCACTTCATGGTCCCAATGAAAATCTCATCTCCCTTTTCTCTGCCTCTCCAATGCTGCAATTGGCTCACCAGTTAAATTTCCATATACTGTATACTTATTTGAAGATAGCTATCATATCTCTGCTCAGTCTCCTCTTTTCCAGACTAAACATACCCAACTCCTTCAAGTCCTTCAAGTCTTAGTTTCCAGACCCTTGATCATGTTGGTTGCCCTCCTCTGCACATGTTTCAGCTTGTCAACATCCATCTTAAATTGTGGTGCCCAGAACTGGACACAGTATTCCAAGTGAGATCTAACTAAGGCAGAATAGAGTGGTACTATCACTTCCCTTGGACGCAGGTGGCGCTGTGGGATAAAGCCTCAGCACCTAGGACTTGCTGATCGAAAGGTCGGCAGTTCGAATCCCTGCGGCAGGGTGCGCTCCTGTCGTTCGGTCCCAGCGCCTGCCAACCTAGCAGTTCGAAAGCACCTTCGGGTGCAAGTAGATAAATAGGGACCGCTTACTAGCGGGAAGGTAAACGGTGTTCCGTGTGCTGCGCTGGCTTGCCAGAGCAGCGATGTCATGCTGGCCACGTGACTCGGAAGTGTCTGCGGACAGCACTGGCTCCCGGCCTATAGAGTGAGATGAGCGCACAACCCTAGAGTCTGGCAAGACTGGCCCGTACGGGCAGGGGTACCTTTACTTTTACTTATCACTTCCCTTGAACTGGACACTATACTTCAGTTGATACAGCCTAGAATAGCATTGCTTTTTTGCTGCTGAATCACACTGTTGAGCTTGTGGTCTACTAAGACCACTAGATTCTTTTCACATGTACTCATGGCAATCAGGTGTCCCCCATCTTGTATTTGTGCATCTGGTTCTTCCTGCCTAGGTCCCTACTGAAATTCATTTTGTTAGTTTGGGCCCAGTTCACCAATCTGTTAGGGTAGGGTCATGTTGAATCCTGATACATACTGTCTTCTGTGGCACTAACTACCCCTCTCAGTTTGGTGTCATCTGCAAATTGGATGAGCATTCCACCCCCATGCTCATGAGCTTAAGATATGTGCTTTCTCCTCACTAAATGATACTAAATACAGGCTAAAGTACAAAGTGCGCAATGTTGTTCTAGTTAAATGAAGTCTACATTTTGAATGCTACAGCCATACTTCCAGCATCTGTTCTATTCCTTGAAGGGATAGCTGGTCTTTGAATAGCAGGGCTGTCTAAGGGGTGCTGCAGGAATCAACTTTGCCTCCTGAAGGCATGCATGGGTTGCGTCTGTCAAGGAATTTATTATCTGACTTTTGTGTTCCCAAGAAGCTGAACAATGAGGAAAAAGAATACGAAGGAGGAAAGTTTGCTACCATCGAGCACACTGGAGAAACATTTGATGCGGCCTGTCTTGAAGCTGTGGCAAAACTGTATAAATACTTTGAAGGAAGCAATGACCAAGGTGAAAAGCTTTACATACTTTCTTCACATCCCCCTTAATTCAGCTGCTTAATTGTTCATTATCTAATCCTTAGGGGGGAAAGACAACATGAACATGTATTTGTTCATATTTGTCATTTTGTGAGTGTCTCAGAAAAGTGGAGTCTTTGATCTGCAATTCTTTTTCAGGGGCTAAGATGAGTGTGGTGGATCCAGTGTGTATCACTGCATTGCCTGCAGATGATGGGTCACTGCAGCTGAAGGTGAAAGTCTCGCTACAGATTCCAAGCCAGTTCCAGGCCAGTCCTCCTTCACCCGCTGATAAGAGCATCCGGATTGAACAGAGAGGGAAAATGGCTGTTTTCTTCATGTAGGTTTCTTAAGCCGGTTGTGTAACTCTAAAGCCAACCTGGTTCCCTCCAGGTCTATCGTGCCACAACTCCCATCATCCCTAACCATTGGCCATGAAAGTTTACATGTCCCCTCTCAACATGCTGTGATATTAACCACACACCCACACACCCAATGCCTAGCAGTTACAGTACAGTCAAACCTCGGAACTTGAACGGCTCCGTTGCCGAATGTTTCAGTTCCCAAATGCCGAAAACCTGGAAGTAAGTGTTCTGGTTTTCAAACATTCTTCAGAACTCGAACGTCCAACGTGGCTTCCACTTGAGTGCAAGAAGCAACCAACTGGAAACCGCGCCTTGGAACTCGAACGTTTTGGAACTCGAACGATCTTCCGGAATACAGTGGCAGTACACATTCGTACTAGATATTTAGGAATTCCCTGTTAGAGTGATTCTGGTGCCCAGCTTTTGATCATCATGCTCAGAATGCTATTTCTGTTAGCAACACTAGGTAGAATGAGAGCAGGATGGGTCTGTAGTTTGCTAGTCGTCCCAGTCAAAATATGTACCCAAACACTAGGCTTTGTGGTTGAATGTTAGCTTCTGTCTTCCTTTAAAGCTGCTCATACATCCCTGGGGGAGGTGTCCCCCATTCTGTGAGAACCCTGACTTTCAAATACCCAAGGCTGAGGCCTAGAAACTCTTTTAGTTGAGCTACGGCTCTGAGCCAGTAAGATGTTATACAGCAGCTGTCCATCAATGTCTAGAGTGCTAAATCCATTAGTAGCCCAAACAGATGTATCGAGAATTGATAGCCTGTCATTTCTGATGTGTCAGTTCCTTTGAACCAAGCTGAGAGATCTTGAATGAATTTGGCCTGCCACTTTCGGTTGGGGAGCATGTTTATGCACACTCACTTCCCGGGGGGGGGGGGGACACACGATACAGCAGATCATTCAGCCCAAATGGCCTTTGGGTGTCACTCTGGTGTCAAGGGAAAGCAAAACTTTATTGCAATTCCTGCGATGAACTCGGCTGTCAAGGACCACATTTCAAAAAGTATGCCTCTCTTTGTCAACGCAAGGGGACTGGGAATCCACTCTAATTCTCCAGGCGCAGCGAGGGGAATATGAAGAGGAGGCTTCCGTTGTTCATTCTAAATGTCATGTTGGGCTTTGGGAGCAAATTTCCCTTTGTGGCAGTTGCCTTAACCACAACCACTCTTTATGCTATTATAGTAGATGAGGGTCCATTGACTGACATCTCTGGAAATTGCCACTAAAGACACATATTGATTCTAACCATGACTGACACCTGGGCAAATAGGATTTGATCCTCTTTTACCAAAGTCCCATGAAAAGAAAAATGTAAAAAAAAGGGGGGGAGGGAGTGGGTTAACGGATGTGGTTGAACAGTCTTTTTTGTTTCCTTTCTTCACACACAGCAACCATTTTAGATGCTCTTCTGATTGAGCCATTGTGAACATATTTAAGGTGTTATCTATGTTGAAGGGAACCCAGTACCATTCTGCTCAACTTTCTGCTGAGGACGCAACTCAGAAATGAACAGGAGCACAATGATGCTCTTATGCAACTCTCCTTCCTTTCAGTAGGGCTTGTGCATGAGAATATCCCAGTGCATTGTGTCCCATGGGTCAGATCTGTCTTATTTCCTGCTTGGCCACCTCTAATGGCACTTGAAATCTGCCACCTGCTTTGCCTTGAGATCTGCTTCTGGGGGCACACTGCAGAAGGGCACTTGCAAATCTAACAAATCTACTTAAAAACTCTGCTTGAATTATTCTTTTTCCTCTTCTGCAATTACATTCAGGGACTGGTCCACACACCACCCTCTAATTTTCCCCTTTGTTTTTATTGTTCTCTTGTTTTTTCTTTGTTCATAGGACATTTCACGGCAATGCCAAAGGAGAGAACTATAAGAATTATGCAGCTCAGCTGAGATCTGCAGTAGGAACTGAGAAAGCTGACCACAAAGAGCTATATATTTTCAGCAGCTATGATCCCCAAAACAAATCCTTTTGGAATTGCCATGAGGTTTCACTGTGGAAGAAGTGAGCAGTCCAAAAACAAGAAAGCTGCCCCAATTGGCGAAGGTGGAAGGAGGAGGAAAATATCCACAGGTGCTATAGAAAGCTGATGTGTGTTTTGAAATTTAACCAGCATGTTTTGAGCATATTGCTTTTTATCAAAGGTTGTTCCAGCTTTGCTGCTTTCTTTCATAAGCCATGAGTTGCATTTCTTGGGCTGTTTCCCATCCAAAACAGAATAGCAGAAGTAAAATACCATTAATAAAGAGAAATGCACTCAAAAAGCATTGGGTGAACCCAAAAATAAATACCGTAAATCAGTGGAGGGTTTTTTCTGACACCAAAACAAGTTTACCTCATTGTTGGTAGGCTGTTCGCATTCTACTATCCCCCCTTAGTTCAGAATCTAAATAAAAACTGTATCAGTAATAGGGGGAAAGGTCCTTAGTCTGAGCTTGCACGTTCCTGTCCTTTGGTTGTGACCTCAACAATGTCAGCTACATCTCTCCCAAAGTTGTCCAGAGGGATAATAAGACAGCTGTATTTACAAGCCAGTAAAACTGGCACCTGTTAACAGATTGGTATTTCCTGCAGCACTGTCAGCCTGTTACACTCATCTGACTTGGGAGATTATTTCTATCCTTAGTCCAAGTCAACCCTAGAGGCTGCTTTCAAGTAAGGTACACTGACAGTGCAGTCCACAAACTCCTGAAATGGGTGTTCTTGTCCTTGGAGCCATGTTTGCATTAGAATTAGTAGAAGCTGCATCACTGGCAACAGCAACTATCACCAGCTGCCATTGTGTCATTAGGTAAGGCTCATGTGGCATTGGAAAGGCATTTGGGGCAAGTACATCTTTAGGTTGTGTCTAAATGCCAACAGCCTATTTATTTGGAAATGCCTAAGCTTTTCTTAACTTCAGTCTCCTTTTACAATCATGGATTCATATGGTTAGATGGTACCTGGAGAAGTCATCTTTCTTTTCGTAAATCTGCCAAAGAATAAAATAAACTAAAATTGGAATTGATGAGTTTTCTCAGGATGGTGGAAGGCAGGTGTGACATCTTCTAATGGTCTGGTGATGGTGGCACTCACCATTCTTCTGATAGAAAATGCTCTGCAGGAGCAGGGAGAAAAAAAAATGGGGGCTCAAGGAGGGTCAGTCGGGGTGGGAGTGATAAATGACCTTATTTTCATCTGAGCAATGTTGGAGGGTATGGTATCCCCACATAGTGCTCTAATGGAGACCTTTGCTCTGCATTACTTCTTATTCCCCCCTTTTGAAGCGAGAGGCTCACCTCAGACTGAAGGATGAAGGACCTCAGTCCAAGCTATGATCTGACTACTGCATTTAAGCCCTGGATCACTTTGTACCTTATAACTCTTTGTTTCCTTGAATGCTTGCTGAGATGTCTTAATGGAACACCCACCCTTTTGCCAAAGCCTTTCAGCTTCTGAAGAACTGTGCAATTTTCTACCTAAATATGGATATGAAGGGCTGTTATTAAGCACATTTTTAAAATAAAAATAAAAACAAATATAAAACGCATGTTTTGAGGGTGTAACTGCATCCATCAGAAGTATAATTTTGTGGAACAAAGTAATAGTTTAGGTGTCCAAAATTAGTGCCAAAGCGACAACTTGAAACCTGAGGTGGTGCACATATGCATTCCTTTGACATCTCTGTTTGCGGGTGACAAGGTTTCTGCAGTGGAATGTCAGATGGGGCGCAGCAGCAGCATGATGCATGGAGTCCTGGTGGAGGGGAAAGCTGTATACTTCAATCCCAGAGGAAATGCAAAAGGTTCCTTTCCAGATATTAGGAGACACAGCAGAAAGCAGAAACCTCACTGCACTTCGGCTTCCAGGGCCAGCCAAAACATTAGGTAGAAGAAATTGAAGGGATAGAAGAGCAGATCTTCATCTTCAGATCCCCCAGACTATTCCCCCTCTGTTGGAAGGTAGAGCTCTGTGTGTGCCTCAGGTTTCCTAAGCTAGCTTGCTACCCAACAGAATGCTGCCCTGTTGCCAGAGTTGAAGTAAGGTTCAGCTGTCAGTCAGGCTGACTTCTGTATGTGCCACAGGAAGCACTATCTTGGGGAAATCGTCTGGGACCAGCCCTACAAACTTCTCTATCTCGTTGTGGCACAGCTATCTTCAAGAATCGGTTCTTTCTTCCCCGCTGCCCGCATGCCTTGAAGTGAATCCAACTCACAACTTAACTTCTAACGTGACACGCTTAGTATTTCATCCTAAGACGAGCGGAGTAAAAATACTTTAATTAATTAAATAAAGAGGGAAATCTCAAAGCTGTTGCCATCTTAGTCTCTAGGATGCTGTTTGGGGGAGCATTCCCATACCTGAAGGCATTGCTTTTAGGATCAGGACCAGGAGAAAAGGAAGCACTTTCCATTCAGCACATAATTAAGGCTGTATGCAAACATAGGAGATTTTTCTCCTATGGTTTGAATTCTGCTTCTCCCCATCATTGCTTCACTATAAGTTATTGTATTTGCTTCACTGGCTGAAAATCCAGACTAGAATTTTATCTTACACACACACACACACACACAGAGAGAGAGAGAGAGAGAGAGAGAGAGAGAGAGAGAGCACTACCCCTTCATATGTGCTTGTAGATTATTTTATTTTTTTAAAAAAACCCTTGAAAAAGCTGATCTGTGAGGCCAATAATGGCTTTGTTACTGATGCATAGTCCAGCCAGTCAGAACTCTGAACAACCTGATGGGAGCTGGGAGAGAAGTGTTTGCCGCAAGGGCCAGCACTCTGCACTGCCTCATATTATAAGCACAGAGAAGCATAAGTATCCCTGAGTAACATGGCAGCCTTAGCATCTCTGTGTTACTTTTCTCCAAGGTCATTAGCGTGCACTGATCTTTCCTCACATGTCACAAAACATGAGCAACATGTCCTCCTGCAGCAGGTTGGCATCCACCATGATCATGTTATTTCAATGCAAATTATGTTCACTACCTTGTTACAATATGTAGATTGGCAGGAATTCTCCGGCTCCTGATATTTCCAGTGCCTGGCTCGATTCTGAATAATTTGTCCTCCTTTGTTTGAAGATGGAAGATTACAGTTTAATTGTAAAGTATTTTTTCAACAATGGAGCTCCGTAGAGCTATTACACCTAGTTAATTAGCACCTATCATTCATTTTCTGTAGCAGAGGAGCGAGTTCCTCCATTGTGTGAACACCTGTTCCGAATGGATATGTGCATCTGGCAAAGGACTATCCTAAAACACCGAGCTTATATGATGCAGCGCATGCTACTAATACTCTAGGCAGAAGCGAGAAACACCGAAAACTGCGGTCACCATCCATTTAAATCAGGGGTAGGCAACCTAAGGCCTGGGGGCTGGATCTGGCCCAATCGCCTTCTAAATCCGGCCTGTGGATGGTCCGGGAATCAGCATGTTTTTACATGAGTAGAATGTGTCCTTCTATTTAAAATGCATCTCTGGGTTATTTGTGGGGCATAGGAATTTGTTCATATTTTTTCTCCAAAATATACTCCGGCCCACCACATAGTCTGAGGGACGGTGGACCAGCCCACAGCTGAAAAAGGTTGCTGACCCCTGATTTAAATTGATTGATAACAGGTTCAGAAAGGCTAAAAAGGCAAATTTCTTCTAACTACGCATAATTATGGAATTCACTGCCACAGGGTATGGTGATAACCACTAGCTTTAAAGCAAGATTATAAAAACATTTCTTGGGGGGTAAGTCTATTTGTGGCTAACAACCAGGATAGCTAAATGGCCCTTCCTTGTTCCAGCGGCAGCTTCCTCAAAATCCCAGCTTCTGGGAGGATGCAAGCAATGGAGAAGGACTGTTGCTTCCTTGCCCTGCTCATGGACTCCCAGGAAGCATCTGATTGGCCATGCCTAGAAACAGAATGCTAGATGAACCCCTGCACAATCCATCCGAACTATTCTTACATTTTTAGATTTCCCTGGAGAGAAGAAACAACTGGCTTTTGTCTACAATGTGCTTCTGTTCTTTGCAGCTACGTCTGTGCCCTTCTGGTGTGAAGGTGGGGATTTACTAGAATTCGTCACTGTAATAAGCCTCTGCCTTCCTCACAACCTTTGCACAGCTCTTATGCAAACACAACAAAAAAGCCTCGCTAGAGAATGTGCAGCTTCTCCCATCCCTTTTCGGTTCCCTAAGCAAGTGGTGCTGATGTAAAACAAAACGAAACATAGAACAGAAAAAGGTAGGGCCTTTGGCTCCACACATTTAGGCTTGTAAAACACACGCAGGCCAGGGATTGGACAGGTTGGGCTTATGCAATGGGGAGGAACATGTTCAATATCTGAGTACATCCTCTGCTTTGCAGCATCCCCCACCCCTCACCCCAGATCATCACACTAGGTTAAATCCCTTTCGCTGTCCTTGTATGCAACAGAAAGACCAGACCTTCCACTCCTCCTGATCTGCTTGGGAAGAAACGGTTAGAATAATAGAATCTTAGAGTTGGAAGGACCTCTATCTAGTCCAACCCCCTGCAATGCAGGAATCTCAGCTAAAGCTGACAGATGACAGATGGCCATCCAACCTCTGCTTAAAAAACTCCAAGGAAGGAGAGTCCACCACCTTTCGTGGGAGTCTGTTCCACAGCTGAATAGTTATTAACGTCTGAAAGTTTTCCCGAATGTTTAGTCAGAATCTTCTTTCTTGCAACTTGAAGCCATTGGTTTGAGTCCTACTCTCCAGAGCAGGAGAAAACAAGCATGCTCCCTCCTCCATGTGACAGCCCTTAAGATATTTGAAGATGACTATCATATCTCCTCTTTTCCAGGTTAAACATACCCTGCTCCTTCAAGCACTCCTAATAAGGCTTAGTTTCCAGACCCTTGATCATCTTGGTTGCCCTCCTCTGCAAATGTTTCAGCTTGTCCACATCCATCTTAAATTGTGGTGCCCAGAACTGGACACTGTATTCCAAGTGAGATCTAACTAAGGCAGAATAGAGTGGTGTGATCTAAACCACAGAGCCTAGGGCTTGCCGATCGGAAGGTCAGTGGTTCGAATCCCCGCGACGGGGTGAACTCCCATTGCTCGGTCCCAGCTCCTGCCCACCTAGCAGTTCGAAAGCACGTCAAAGTGCAAGTAGATAAATAGGTACCAGTCAGTGGGCTTTATAAGACTTGGCAACGTCTCTGTCACATAGTGAATCTTTGCACCCAGAAGACAGCACAGCTCCCGTGACATCCTGTTTCCTCCACACACCGCTGCCTCTGTTCCCCTCAGTAAGAGGTCACCTATCACCCCGACTCATCTCCCCCTCCTCTGGGGAGTAGCAGGAATCATTCTATGGGCTGTGCCTTCCAAAGGCTGCTTCTGTTGTTCTCGAGTCTTCCTCTCTTGTTTATTGGAGCTGATTTTGATATTGGAGAAGTTACAAAGGCTGTCCTCTTCATTATGGACAATGGCCTTAATCAAGCACTGCTGAACATTTAGGACAATTGGGAATTGACATCAAGTCGCTCAGGCTGAGCTTCTTGGTAAACATGCTCGGGATTAGACTGTCAGTTGCTCTTCTTTGCAGTCACAGTATTTGTTCCTAGGCTTGTTCTCCGTGTCATCAATCAACTTAATCAACCCTTCATAATTGATGGATAAGGAAAGCATTTAGGGAACACGAAATTAAACGTTCTTAAGAGGTGACTCTCTGCGTCTTCCAATCAGATGGGGAAGCTTTGCTGCTGAAAGAGGGACTAGCCGACCAGGTGGAATGCGTTCATCATTTCCATTCTCGCTAGGTTACTGGGGTAAAGGACAGCTGAGTAGATTTGTGCCTGGGTTGATCAATTTTCGTGGTCGCTTTGGCTTTGGAAAGCTGCCTCAAGGGTTGCTGGACTGTAACCTGACCGGAGCTGTAGCCACAGCAATTCCTCTTCTGCAATAGGGTTATCAAGTGCATCTGCTTGCTCTTCAGAAAGAGCATTTCAAGTACATCTATCTCCAAGCACTTTGGTTCTAACTGGACTGTAAGTAGCCAGAGATGTATAACAGCTACTATAAAGCTGTTCAAAAACCTAATTTATTGTATCAGGATCATTGGTAACAATGGCGTCCTTGACAGAAATAGATGGAATGCTGTGCATCTGGGTACTCCATCTTTGCCGAGTTTTCGAGCCAGCAACAAACCATTTTTGTCAGCCCATTCATAACCTTTCTGCTTATCGCAAAATGAAACACATTGTGTTGAACGGGGTCGTGGTATTACTGAATTTTTGTTCTCTAATCCTTCAGGCTCTCCTGCTTGAAGACATCAGCCTGTGTAAACTCTTATTTGATTTTTAGCAGGGTATAGAAGAATTAATTCTATGCCCTCTGTCTGCATAAAATACAGCCCATATTTGGGCAATGCCTTTATTGTGAAATTTTTGTGGGTGCAAACTTTTGTGTTCTCCAGAACTCTTCCCTCACACAAGATAGTAAACCAAGCAAAAAGGAGAGAGAAAATATCAGGCTGATTATAAAGACTCCTTTGGCTGCATCTTATAGGAGTCTTA